CCTCCTGCAGACAACTACCCACCCCCCCATCCATTTACCCTAACACTCTTAAGAAGAAGGCATAGGAGTAAATACTTATGATCTTGTGCTTAGGCAGTTGTTTCTTAGATATAATAGCAAAAGTACAAGCAATGAAAGAAAAAGTAGATCAGTTAGACTACATCAAGTGTAAGAACTTTTGTGCTGTGATATCATCAAGAAAGTAAAAAGACAGCCCACCGAATAGGAGGAAAGATACATGATTTATATATCTGATAAGGGACTTGTATCCAGAATATAAAGAACTCAATAATTTATTTCAAAAGATTAGAACTAGGCAAAGGGTTTGAATTGGCATTTCTCCAAAGAGATATACAAATGACCAATAAGAACATGAAAAGTTGTTCAACATCATTAGTCATTAGGGAAACGCAAATCAAAACCAAAGTGCAGTGCTATTTCACACCCTCTAGGATGGCTGTAATAAAAAAGATAATAACAAATGTGAGCAAGGATGTGAAGAAATTGGAATCCACATACACTGTTAGTGGGAATATCAAATGGTGTAACCATTTTGGAAAATAGTCTTGTCCTCCTCAAAAGAAACATAATTACCAGGCCAGGCATGGTAGCTAACGGCTATAATCCCAGCACTTTGGAGATGAGAGGATTTCCTGAGCCTGCGTGCTTAACTTGGTGAGATCGCGTATTTACAATAAATCAAAAAATTAGCCGGGCATGGTAGTCAGTGCCTGTAGTTCCAGCTACTTGGAAGGCTGAGGCAGAAGGATCACCTGAGCCCAGCTGGTCAGGGCTGTGGTGGCTGTCAGCATGCCACTGCACTCCAGCCTGGGCAACAGAGTGAGACTCCCAACTCAAAAAAAAAAAAAAAAGAAAGAAACATAGTCACCATATGACCTAACTGTTCTACTCCTAGGTATGTACCCAAAATAAATGAAAATAGGCTGAGCTTGGTAGTTTGTGACTATAACTCCAGTACTTTAGGAGCCCAAAGTGGGAGGATTGCCAGAACCCAAGAGTTCAATACCAGCCTGGACAACGTAGTGAGACTCCTGCCTCTGATAAAAAAAGAATAATTTTTAAAAATAGCTGGGCTTGGTGGCTTAGCCTGTTATCCCAGTACTTTGGGAGACCAAGGCGAGTAGATTGCCTGAGCCCGTGGGTTCAAGACCAGCCCGGGCAACTTGGCGATACCTTATCTCTACAATAAATCAAAAATTAACTGGGCGCGGTAGCACATACCTATGGTTCAGGCTACTTGGGAGGCTGAGGCAGAAGGATCACCGGAGCCCAGCAGGTCAACACTGGGGTGACTTTGAGTGTGCCAGTGCACTCCAGCCTGGGTGATGGAGTAAGACTCTGGCTCAAAAAAATTAAAAAATAAAAACATATATTCAAACAAAAACTTGTACAAGAATGTACATAGCATTATTCACAGTAGGCAGAAAATAGAAACAATCCACATATCAGCAGAGCAATAGATAAACAAATTGTGGTCCATTCATACAGTGGGATATTGTTCATAAGATGGAATGAGGTACTACCTCATGCTGCAGTGTGGATGTACCTCGAAAACCTTACTCTCATCAAATGCCTGCTGGGATTTAAATAGGGATTGCATTCAGTCTGTATCAGTTTAAGGAGTATTACTATGTTAACAATACTAAGTCTTCTGATCCACAATATGGATGTCTTGCCACCTTAGATCTTTAATTTCTTTCAAAAGTGTTTTGTGGTTTTTTAAATATAAGCTTTGTACCTCTTTTGTTAAATTTCTTTCTAAGTGTTTTATTTTACTTTTGATATTATTATGAATAGAATTATTTTCTTAATTTCAGTTTCAGATTGTTTGTGGCAAATGTATAGAAGTACTGTTTATTTTTGTACGCTAATCTGTGTTCTATACTCTTGCTGAAGTCGTTTTATCATTAATTGTAATAGTTTCTTAGTGGATTCCCCAGGACTTTGTACATACAGGATCATACTATCTGTGATTAGAGCTAGTTTTACTTCTTCCATTTCATTCTGGATGCCTTTTATTTTGTTGCCTAATTGGCTTGGCTAAGACCTCTAGTACCATGTTGACTAGGTGGGGTGAGAATACTTGTTCTTGTTTCTGGTCTTCGAGGAAAAGCTTTCAGCCGCTCACGTTGAACAGGATATTAGCTGGGGGTTTGTGTGTGTGCCTTTTATCAGACTGAGGCCATTCCCTTCCATGCCTAGTTTCTTAAGCATTTTTATCACTCAGAGGTTTTGAATTTTTCTTAAGTGCTTTTTCCACATCTAGGATGATCATGTGTTTTTGGTTTTTTTGATGGTTGTTTTTTTTTTTTTTTTTCGATTTATTCTAATGATATGCTTTGAGTTTTGTATGTTGAGCCAGCCTTCCATGCATGGTGAATCTTCTTGGTTGTGGTGCCTAATCCTTTCTGTGTGGTGCTGTGTTCAGTTTGCTAGTGTTTTGTCCACATTTTGTAGGGTCTTTTCTGGACTTCAGGTGTGGGCTTATGAGTAAGCAGCCTGTACTCTTGGCTTTGAAGAGAGTGTGGATGTCTTCTGAGCTCAGAATCCACTTCTTCAGATCCATCCTCCCCATTGGCCCCTCCGAGTCGAACTGGCACATCTGGGGTACCCAGGGTGGTACATGGTCCAGGATGTGGCACAATTTCCTTTACCCACTTTGAGGGTGAGACAACAACTCAGTCCCAGGCCCTTCTCTTTTACCTCTACTTCTGTGGGTTGCTGTTGATTGGGTCATTGTGGCATAGAGGAAGCAGCAGAGGCCAGGAATTGGTTCTGGGCCTTAGTTTCCAGTATCTGGAGAAGTTTGACCTTTGGGTAATCTTTGAGCTTGCAGGGAGAAATAACTAGATTATCTGTGGTATTTTTGGTGTTCTGTGTGGGGCTCTTAACCCAGTGTTAAGATAGAAGGCAGGGCAATTGTGAAGCTGGATAGGAGGAAATCAGTTATTTTCACTAATTCAGTGAAGTTTAACATTCCCTTCATTTATGAATGTAGGCAACAGATGTCTGTGTCACCAGGATAAGTCACAGGTGTCTTCATGACCTGTTGCAATTGTCATGTTACAGCGGTGATGACATAGTGATTATGTTCATCATCACTGCTGTATAATTAGATCTGCTACTGGATCTTGTTGAGTGCAGACATAAAGCAAATCATATATTGCTACATCAAAAATCTATTATTTTCATATTCTGATACTTATATTTAATTATACTTGCTTTCTTTTGTAGCCCTATGTATTGTATGCATTTAGGACATTATTCTGGCTGTTCTTCAGACTCTGGAGGTTCCTTTCCAAAGTGCTGATTTTGCTCATCCCCTTTAGGAAGGTAGGGCAGAGAAAAGAGGAGGAGGTGGGGAGGATCTTGGGGTACTGGTAAGAGGTATGGTGGCGGGAAGGGCAGCATGTGGCAAAACAATGTGGGAGGATCTGGGCCCAGAGACCTGGTTGCAGAAAGCCGAGAACAACAACAGCAGCAGCAGCCCTAACTGCACTGGTTCCCCGGAAGCACTCATCGGTGAGGTGGGTGCATATCCTCACAGACTTTGTTTTGTGCATAATGTAGCTATTTAAAAACACAGAAGGTTCTGTGTGCTGTTTGACAGCCTGAATTTTTAAATCATATATAGTGTACATCTTTTCATATGAAAACATTTTTTTATAACTTTTTAATAATGGCATTTAAAAAAGTAGAAATCACAAAAGTAGCACATGATTGTAGTAATGAACAGAACCACTGAATAAGTAAGTAAGGTAAGTAAGGTATTGAGTGACATCCCTGTCTGGCCAGCAGATGTGAACCCTGGTCACCATTGTTACTGTGCTGGTCTGTCCTCTAGGATCAGGTGCTAGAAAGGGAATTGCTGAGTTAGGAACAGGCCCATTCTTTATGACTTTCAATCTTGTTGGGAAATTGCTTCCCAGAAGTCACACTGTTCTACAGCCCCACCAGCCGTACTGCATCTCCCTCAGAGCCTTGCCAACACTGTACTTTTTGTTTGCCAGTTTGATAGGCTGTTGTGTTTTAGTGTGCCTTTCTTTAATTCTTGTGTGGTTGAAGGACTTTTTAGTGGCTTTTGATTTGGTTTTCTTTCTTTTCAGGGATCTCCTTGGTGTTCTTGGCAGCATCATTCAGGGTCTTGGCAGGACACAGATACAGCTATGAAGTCTTTACATGAAAGTCATTTACTGAAGGGACTGTTTACAGGGCTGAGTCCCTGTAGCAGAGGCTGTTAGCCTCAACCTGGCCTAGGGAGTGGGTGGGTGGGTCAACTCAGAACTGGCCTGTGGGCAAGGCAAGTGTGGATAGTGTCTGTGCAGTGACCCAGAGCCGTCCAGACCCTAGAGCAGTGGGAGCTGGGCTCACTTATGCCACAGTGCTGCTCTACCTGGGCTACACAGCAGCTGGTGAGCCCTCTTGGTCCTCTGGGTTGACACGGATGCCTATGGTGACAAGTGAGTCCATAGGTCTTGGTGCCTACAGTGTACAGGTGAACTTGGTGACTGGTGTCACTGAACTCCCAGACTGTATGTGACAGAGGAGGTTGTGCCAGCCTACAGCAGTTCATTGAGTGCCTGCACATGTCTGGGCATGTTTAGGAATCACAGGCCCAAGCAGTGAGCGAACCAGGACCCTTGGTACATCTCCCTGCTAGCAGTGCTGCCAGCAGGATGACAGGTGCACATGAGGAGCAGACTCTGCCATTGAGTGTCAGATGAGCACCTAGGGAGGACAGCATAGTGTTCCAGGAGTCAAGTGGGCCTTGCTGAGCAGGTGACCTCTTTCTGAGCCAACCCCAGGATGCCTTGGACATGTCTGGCTCCTGGAGGTATATGGTCCACTCCAGGTGACTGCCAAGAGCACCAGGCCACCCGTACAAACCACGTTGTCCCAGTGCTTGATACAAACTGTGCAGCCCCATGACTGTCACCGATCATGAGTCTGAGTGTGACCTTCTCTCTCCCTCTCCGCAGCCAGGGCCAATTCGTTTGTGGGAACAGCACAGTACGTTTCTCCAGAGCTGCTCACAGAGAAATCTGCCTGTAAAAGGTAACCTGCTTTTATCTGATCCATACTTCTCTTTTCTCTAATGTAGAAATTAATATTTGAAAGAGTGAATTTGGTGGCCTTTAAGTAGCTAAACACACTTGGAAAGAAATTAGCATTTTGCTAATTTTTGTATTTTTCCTTGTTTACACATGCATGCTGCTTTATTTTTTGTAGAGACTGGGCCTTGATATGTTGCCTAGGCTGATGCTTTTTGTGATGCTTTTTGGTTTCATATTTGATCTTGTTTCTTTAGGAAAAACTATTCCTTGGGGAAAGTGGCTGCCATGTGTGTGGAGTCCAGCACTCCTCAGTGTTGCCACCATTCAGGTGAAGGGCAGGGGAGCCTGGCCATAGGGCTGTGAGGCTTACACAGCTGTGCCGGGGGCAGGGCACTGCAGAGCATGGGGGAGGTCCCAGAGGGTGGCCAATGTGGAGGGACAGGAACAGAGCAGGTTTCTAGCAGGCCTGAGGGTCTTTGAGAAGCACAGTTGGGCCTTGGTGGTGTCCTCAGTAGTGAAAATTCGAAATGCAAGTGGTGCAGGGGAAGTATGACTGGCATGGGCCGAGGGTGGGGAGAATGGAGAAGGGCCACTGGGCAGTGGAGGGGAGGAAGTAGAGGGAACTGACAGCCAGGGTTGTGGCAAAGTCTAAGGTGCTGTCTTGGGTGGACATGAGGCAGGCGGAGACTGAGAAGTGGCAAAAGGATGTAGGGTTTCAAAATTTGGAGAGCAGTTCTGTGGGGGTGTGGCTTGGGTTCTTCCTGCCCAGGCTTATCAAATGCTGCTTAGTGCTGGATTTGGCTTCAACCTCTTGGTCTGCTGGTGCCCTCATGAGTTGACAGGACTACATGAGTCCTGCACCATCAGTGCCCTGTTCTGGCAGATTACAAGGGACTGCTTTCCTGGAGTGAAATGAGCAACCTTAAGAGAAAGAATGGATGAATGAGGCAGAGCGCAGTGGCTCACGCCTGTAATCCTAGCACTCTGGGATGCCAAGGCAGGAGGGTCACTTGAGGCTAGGAGTTCAAGATCAGCCTGGGCAGCATAACAAGAGCCTGTCTCTACCAAAAAAATAGCCAGGTATGGTGACATAGTTCCAGCTACTCAGGAGGCTAAGGCAGGAGGACTGCTTGAGCCCAGGAGTCCAAGGCTGCAGTGAGCTATGATTGCACCATTGTACTCCAGCCCTGGTGACAGCAGGACCTTGTCTCTTAAAAAAAAAAAAAAGCCGGGCCTGGTGGCTCACACCTATAATCTCAGCACTTTGGGAGGCCAAGGTGAGAGGATTGACTGAGCCCACGGGTTTGAGACCATCCTGAGCAACTTAGTGAGACCTCATCTCTACAATAAATTTTTTTAAATAGCCAGGCATGGTGGCATGTGCCTGTAGTTCCAGCTACTTGGAAGGCTGAGGCAGAAGGATCGCCTGAGCCCAGCAGGTGGAGGCTGCAGTGGCTGGAAGCGTGCCACTGCCCTCCAGCCTGGGTGACAGAGTGAGACTCCAACTAAAAAAAAAAGAATGAATGAATGTTTCTGAAGATGGCAGTTCTGTGTTTCTGAGCTTTAAAAAAAAACTATTTGTGAGGTGGAGCCATGGGGACAAACATGATGGCAGTATGCTCTGAAAAATTAAACTTGGGCATCTTCGCTTTAAAAAAAAACTATTTGTGAGGTGGAGCCATGGGAACAAACATGATGGCAGTATGCTCTGAAAAATTAAACTTGGGCATCTTCACCGTCTCCAGGCTTGTTAGTTTTGGGTTTTTTAACCTTATTCAATCAACATCTATTGAGTATAGTGACCTAGACTGTGAACTCTGGACCTGGCACTGTGGGAGAGGAGGGTCAGTGAGGGCAGAGCCAGGATATTGGATGAGGGGCAGCCCTCTGTGTCCCTGGTGGCTGAGGACACATGGGAAGCCTAGCTCTTATGTGCTGGACGTGACTTATGGAGATCTGGAAGTGTAGTATGTGGTTTTTTTTTTCCCAGTTGAAATCATTTTTATTTCATTTTAGATTCAGTGGATACACATGTGTGTTCGTGACATGGACATATTGTATAGTGGGAGGGATTGGGTCTCAGGGTCTCAGATAGTGACCATCAGGCCCTGTACATAGTTTCTGAACCTAACTCCCCTCCCTTCTCCCCTTATTGATGTCCCCGGTGTCTTTATTTCCATCTTTGTGACCATTTAGCTCCCATATATGAGTGAGAACACACGGTGTTTGGTTTTCTGTTTCTGAGTCAATTCACTTAGGATTATGATCTCTAGCTCCACCCATGTTGCTGCAGAGGACATGATTTCATTCTTTTCTATGACTGTGTGTGTTTCTTTTAAAATGGATAATTAAAACATGTATAAAGGAGGGGCATGGCCTTGGGCAGTGGAGTCCAGTGGAGGAGAAAGAAGCCTGTTTTGTGTCATCCTGGATGGTTTGGTTGGGCTTCTTGGTGTGCTTGAATCTGTACCTGTCCTCCTGAGTGCTGAGTTGGCCAGGGGAGAGCCTGCATTTTGGCTGAGCTGCACCTTTCTGCCCCAGACTTGGGCGAGCCCTCCAGCCCACCCTCCCCTTTCTTCCCCTTTCTTTCCCCTTCCCCCTTGTTCCTCCTGGACACTGACAGGAGGGTACTTTCCATCAGCTCTCACTGCTATCTTACTGGAACAGTGTTAGCCTCTTCTTTAACCCTCATCCTCTGCCCCGTCTGCAGCAGCATGGTGTCAGAAGTGAGCTCTGCTATGCTTCAAGATGAGATGGGCATGTGTGAACATTTTAAACTCCTGTTGGAAGTGGCAAAGCTTCGGGGCAGCTGAATAACATTGGTGCCTGCTGTGTGCAGACACCTTGGCCCAGGCCCCAGGGAGGCTTCTCCAGAGGGCATCACCTTCACATCTAACTGTTTCCTAAAGGACAGAAGTGCATTGGAGGCAACACTGGGGTGGTATAGACAGGCAGAATGGAAAATAAACTGTGCTTGTCACTTAAATTTACAAATGCCATTTCTTTTTCCCCACCTTAAAGTTCAGACCTTTGGGCTCTTGGATGCATAATATACCAGCTTGTGGCAGGACTTCCCCCGTTCCGTGCCGGGTAAGGAATGGTATTTCCTAGGCCTCTGGGCCTGCTGAAGTGCACCCTACTGGGACCCAAGGCTCCTCATGGGAGGTGGGAGGGCTGTGTCCATCCAGGAGAGGGACTTGGGTGGTGATGCAGGAGTGTGCCCGGCCAGGGGTCTGTCTGTGGCTCTATAAGATGGGGAGGTGGGGTGCAGTACTCACCCCTGTGTGTGAAGGTGGAGGAGCCCGCCTGGGATGACTTTGTTTTTTAATTTTACAGAAATGAATATCTTATATTTCAGAAGATCATTAAATTGGAATATGACTTTCCAGAAAAATTCTTCCCTAAGGCAAGAGATCTCGTGGAAAAACTTTTGGTAACTATCTTGAATTTTCCTTCTGGTAAGATGATCTGGCAGCCACTCCCTCTGAATGAAGGTTCAGAGGCACTTCCCTGGAGGCACATGTGTTTAAGAAAATGGTGTTTTTTGGGGGAGTTAATAGTGAGTGTAGATAATTATATCTCATCTCATTATAAGTCCTTTTTAATTTCTGAATGCCTTATTCTTGACAGGAGATTACTGTATTAGGAATAATAAAAATAAGACAGGAGATTATTGTATTATTTTGCTCATCAGCATTACATAGCATTTTATATCACTGATGCTGGAGTGACTGGGTTTATTACAGTGCTGTAGACCCTACTCAATGACATCTGTAAATGTCAGCTTCACAGTCTGCTACATGAAGATTTTAAGGATCAACCCAGGTAAAACAGCAAAGAGAAAGATTTACCTGGGGGAAGGTATATCTGTTTATATTCTAGACACTGAAGTGTCTTTGACCCTGGTATGCTTTTGACTCTAGGCTTTTTCCCTTACCTTGATTCTCTGGGAGCTAGATCAGTCCTGCTTTTTTTTTTTTTTTCCCTTCTTAAATGTAGGAGTCTCACTCCATTGCCCAGGCTGGAGTGCGGTGGCACCCTCACAGCCACTGCAGCCTCGACCAGCAGGATTCAAGTGAACCTTTCACCTCAGCCTTCCAAGTAGCTGGAACCACAGGCACATGCCACCACACCCAGCTAATTATGTATTTATTTTTATTATTATTATTTTTTTTTGAGTGAGAATCTCACTCTCTCGCCCAGGCTAGAGTACAGTGACACGCTCACGGCCACCCCAGTGTCGACCTACTGGGCTCCGATGATTCTTCCACTTCAGCCTTCCAAGTAGTCAAAACTACAGGTGCGTGCTACCACGCCCAGCTAATTTTTGATTTATTGTAAGAGACGAGGTCTCTCCAAGTTGCCCGCGGGCTCAGGCAATCCACTCGCCTTAGCCTCCCAAAGTGCTGGGATTACAGGTTGAACCACTGAGCCCAGCCTAATTTTTTGATTTACTGTAGAGACGGGATCTCACCAAGTTGCCCAGACTGATCTCAAACCCCTGGGCTTAGGCAGTCCTCTTGCCTCTGCCTCCCAAAGACCTGGGATTACAGGCTCGAGCTACCATGCCCAGCTAGTCCTGCTTCTTTCCGTGTAGGGCCCCAGGGTCGTTGGGTACCACCACAGCCTGCTCTTCCCACCTGTGTCTTTCTCCCTGGTGGGGGTGTAGGCTCGATCTTCTTGAGGGTATAATGGGCACAGCTCAGTCTCTGGAGGAGACAGCTCTGTAGCCTTTGAGAGAGATAGGGATCCTGTTACTTCATGTCTCCAAGAGTTTGCTGTCCCGACCTTTCGTTCTTTTTGTTGTTAAAGCTAATTAGTACATATTTTTGTTGTTTTAAGATTTTACTGTATATTTTTAAAGAATGCTTGCTGCTAGTCATTTATCTATCTATCTATCTATCTATCTATCTATCTATCTATCTATCTACTTATTTTTGAGTTGGAGTCTCACTCTGTCACCCAGGCTGGAGTGCAGTGGCACACTCATGGCCATCACGACCTTGACCTGCTGGGCTCAGGTGATCCTTCTGCCTCAGCCTTCCAGTCGTTTTACTTTGAGGATGAGATTCATTTTTTGCCTGTGTTGGGAAAAGGAACGGAGCCTTGAGAGCCGTCACAGGAATCCCAGAGCGTGCTTCGGTCATCCCTGGTCTTTGTGAGGGTGGGTGGGCTGGAGGGATGGGTCAGATGCCCCTCCTCTTTCTGAGAGATACTGAGAATTGAAAGGAATTACTCAAAATTAGGTTTTTTTAGTCAGAATTACATTTTAACCCCTACAGTGATTGTCTTGACTGTTATTTAAGGTCTTAGATGCCACAAAGCGGTTAGGCTGTGAAGAGATGGAAGGATATGAACCTCTGAAAGCTCATCCATTCTTTGAGTCCATCACGTGGGAGAATCTACATCAGCAGACACCCCCGAAGCTCACTGCTTACTTACCAGCGATGTCGGAAGATGACGAGGACTGCTATGGCAACGTAAGCCACTTGGGGCACCAGGGGTGGTCAGGCAGAGGTGCGTCCTGCCAGTTGTGCTTTACCAACTTGGCTCTGCATGGGGATTCATGCCCTGTGCCCCGTGTGTGATGTGTGGCTAAAAGGGGAAGATGTCTGAGTCACTGTGGTAGGCCTGTTGGTGGTTGAACACTTTGTTGCTGAGACCGTGGCCACTGAGGCCCTGGGTAGGCTAATTTCCTTTTCTCGTTTCATCAGCTGTGAGTCAAAGTGATTTTTCATCCAAAGGCTAGAGCTGGAGCAGGACATCGAGCACTTTGCATGTGTTCCCAGGCTCTTGGGCCAGGAGCCTCTGCTGGGTCTATTGGTATCTGCTTTGGCTTGGTGACTATGTAACTATGTGTCTGAGACATTCTGGAACACTGCTTTTTTTCCCAACAGAAACCCTGGGTGCTTTTTTTAGGCTTTTGGGACATGGCGTTTGGAGGAGTACAGTGGACACTGTCCGCTTCAATCTTAGTAGGAGCAGCAACTGCCCAGTGTAAGGGGTGTAGCACCCGGCCCTGGATGTCATGGGCACTGGCCCTCAAGCCCCTTGTCTCCTGAGACTTGACTGTAGCCACCAGGCCTTAAATATACCCCCTTTTTTTTTCTTAAATAGAGATGAGGTTTCACTCTGTTGCCTAGGCTATTCTCGAATTCCTGGGCTCGGGCAATTCTCCCTCCTCGTCTTCCAAAGTGCTGAGATTACAGTTGTGAACCATTGTACTTGGCCCTGTTTTTAAAACTTTTTTTTATTGTGGAGAGTGTGAACCATGTACAAGAGGGACAGGCGGTGTCATGAGTTACAGGGCACCATCACCCACTTTCAGTCTTGTTTCACCTGAGCTTCTTACCATCTCCACCATGTCCCCCTGATATTTAAGCATGGTTTTAACAGTTATTTATTTATTTATTTTAAAATTTTGAGTTGGAATGTCACTCTGTCACCCAGGCTGGAGTTCAGTGGCACACTCATGACCTCCATAGCCTCAACCTGCTGGGCTCACGCAATCCTTCAGCCTCAGCCTTCCAGGTAGCTGGAACTACCACAAGCTCAGCTAATTTTTTGACTTATTGTAGAGACAAGGTCTTGCCACGTTGCCCAGGCTGGCCTCAAACCCCTGGGTTCAGGCAGTCCTCTTGCTTCTGCCTCCCAAAGTTCTGGGTTTAAAGGCATGAGTTATTGCACACCTGGTGATTTTAACATTTTTATCACTGATATTCATTTTTCTGGTGTGAATTGTCACCCTGGCTTAGTTTAACCAATTACTGTGTGTGGATTTCTACTTTTGTTGACAAAGGAATTCTAGATTTTATATAAAGCTAAAATGAACTTCCTACTGGTATCACCTCCTGAGGATCAGATGTTCCCTATGTCTCCTGCCTACTGTACAATCCCCTACTTTGTCCTCAAGTCCCCTTTGTGCCCAAACTTGTAGGGAACCAGTCTTGGTGAGCAGTCAGTGCTGACCTCCATGGTCTCCCGTGGCTTTTGCAGTGTGCAGACTGTAGAGGACTCAGCCCTGGGGGCCAAGAGCCCTCACGTCCCACCTTGTATGCCACCCCAGGTGCTCCTGGATGACATTCTTAGGTCACAGCTGGCAAGAGCTGCAGTGCCCTCCCTGCTTGGTTTGCAGTGCCTGCAGAAGTTGTGCCTGGGACTGGCAGGGGCAGTTTAGTCTGTGGGCTTTTTACCCTGTTCCTCATCACTCCTAGAGAGGTAGCTAAACTCTGAAGGAGCCCCATAGACTCCAGGTATCTCCAGTCTTAGTACCCAGGACCTCCTCTTGGCGTAGGTGTGAGTGTGTGTGTGTGCCTGTGTGTGCATGTGTGTACACCTGTGTCTCTGCAGCCTGCTTTGTCTGCACCTCTTGAGCACTCTGGGCTCTTGCTACAATAAGCTCTGGCTGCTGTCTGCAGGCAGGCTCTGTGTGCTAGCAGCTGACTGCTAGGTGGCTCATCTCCAGCTTTTCAATGTGTTTTGAAAGTCTTGGAGTGTGTCCAGGTGGAGAACTCCCAGAGCAAACCCACATTCGGATGGCTAATGAGTTGGAAAAGACACTGACCTGGAAAGGTGTCAAGAAAGCCTACTGGGCAGCGCTGCCTCCCTGTGGGGCAGGTGTGGGCAGTACTTCCTGGAGGGAGTGGCTTCATCCTAGAGGCTCTGAGAAGCTGACTCCTCTTTAGCAGGAAGGGGCTTCTGCCCCAGGGGAGAAGTTGACAGCAGTCATTTACTCCTGTTTAGATGTGAGGAGAGCAGGCACTTTATTTGCTCTTGCGACCGATAGTGATGCTTGTCTTTGGACTCAGCAATGCTGGAGCTGGGCGAGCTGAGTGAGGCAGGCACTCTTTGGAGGAAGGGTCCATGCAGGCCAGCAGAGGTGGGCAGTTGCACTCTACCCACCAGCAGGTACCTTGCTCCAGTCCGGGGGGCCCCTTTGTCCTTTCCAGACTTGGTCTGCACTGGGTGCTGCTGAGGGGAGGAGGGTGGAGCATAGGGCAGAGTATCTGGAGCTTTTCGTGGGGGGCCATACACTGACGCCTCAAGAGGGAGGAGTGGCCAAGAAGGCGGTGCTTGTGGCAGTCAGCGAGCAGCCGTCACAGAAGGTAGCACTGTGTTGCAGACATAGAAGGCTGGTTGTGAGTTGAGTGTTGGCCAGCAGGGTGTGAGCTTGGGCCAGTTTTTTTTTTTTAAGTCAGAGTTTATTAGAAGATAGGAAAGCTCACAGCAGTGAGAGGGGATCCAAAAGTGAGTTGCCCTTGGGCCAGTTTTTGAGCCTCAGTTTTCCCATGTCAGAAATGAGGACGATGGTAACGGTTGCCATGGTGTGACCCTGGATATCTCTGTAAAACATTGTAAACATTGTGGGTACCTCTGTAATTACTGAGACACCATACTGAGGCAGCATTGTGTGTGAGCCTTGAGAGGAGACACAGAAAATGCACCAGGGACTCTGCTGGAATCACTCCCAACTGCCAAACAACAGGGCAGGGCTGGGGCTGCTGTCTGGGCCTGCTGTGTGGCTGCAGGAGGGTGAGCACACAGGGGAACATGCTCATCTTACATGTGCAGAGGAGGCTAGGACTGTAGATTGCTTGCCCTCTGTGGGTGTAGCCAAAGTCCTTCTTCTGGAGACCCAGGGATCTTGAAAGGACATGCTACACTGATCTCAGCTGTTGCTGGTGGTATCTTTTTTTCCTCCCTTGTCCTTGACTTCAGAGGGCTCATGTGGGGCCTGCAGCTTGGGAGGATGACTGTCTGAGATGGCCATAACTGACCAACTCTGCTGGGGTTCTCCGGCCCCGTCAGTGGCTTCAGGAGTGTGTTAGTATGCAGGCTCTGCCCATTCGGCACATTTGTGAGTAATTCACTGTTTAGTTTTTGCTAGAATAACGTGTAGCTTTATCTCTATTAAGTTCAGTTAATCTTAGCTGAGATTAAAAGGAAATTTTTTAAATTTTAAATTGAATGCGGTTAGTCAAATCAAAATATCTAGTGCCTACCACAGATTCAGACAGGTAAGACACCAGAACCAAAAGAGGAGGGCACCCAGCCCAGCCTGAGTGTGGCAGAGCATGCCACCAAGCCTTCTTGGGAAGGAGGATCCTCTGGTGCATTCCCTTCCCAGCAGGCATCACAGTCCCTCACCTTCAAGGGGCAATACTGAGACTTGAAGAGATAGCTACTCATAGGTTGTTGCCCTGTCGATACTGTGTAGGGTAAGGGTTTCAGGTCCCCCATTGCTGGAGATGAAGATTGAGGTTTAGCCCTTCTCTGGCCCCTGTTCCCATCAGAAGAGGGGCCCATCAGAAGAGGGGCCCATCCAGGCAAGAACCAGCTGGGCCTTGGTTTTAGTGGCTGGATGTCCAGTGGAAGAGAATCAGAGCTGCCCACACTTGCCAGAAGAAGCAGTGGACCTTGTGCTGTGGCATGTGTGAGCTCACTGGGTGTGAGGGCAGCAGTGCCAGGAAGTGGGTGTGGGTCTTTGGACCACAGACACAGCAAGCTAAGGTACACATTTCACTTTTCCTTTTTCTCTGCAGTACGACAATCTCCTGAGCCAGTTTGGCTGTATGCAGGTGTCATCCTCCTCCTCCTCCCACTCCTTCTCTGCCTCGGACACAGGCCTGCCCCAGAGATCAGGCAGCAACATAGAGCAGTACATCCATGATTTGGACACTAATTCTTTTGAACTGGACTTACAATTTTCCGAAGATGAGAAGAGGTTATTATTGGAGAAACAGGCTGGTGGAAATCCTTGGTAAGACTTTACAGACATAAGGATACTCTTGGAAATGCAGTGTGAACATGTGGGGATGGGAGCCGCTCTGAGCACCTATGGGGGGGCGTATTGGCCTTATCGCTGCCTCCCATGGCTGCCTTGGACACTCGGCAAAGGAGGACCCTCAAGGCACAGCTGGAAGTGGGTGTTTAGGAGGCAGCTGACCTGGGGGATGAGTGGGTTTGCGACATCTGGTGCTCTGGTGGGCAAGGTGTGGATGGCTTCCCTGCTCTGCCAGGCATGTGGACCTTCTGAATGTGGATGTGGATTCACTGTGATCTGAATAACTGTTGCCCTACGCTGAGATGTAGGGTGTCTGTGAGGTCTTGCTGTTGTGGTTCATCTGGTGCCATAGCTTTTCCCAGGTTCTAGGGTGGCATGTGTTCTATTCTGAGGGCTTGCATGTTTTCAAAAGGCCAGTGAGTTGTACCAGTGGCACCAGGAACTTGCGTTTCCAGTGGTCTTTCCTGCCTGTGAGTTTTACAATGCACTAAAAGTGGGCTTGTGTGAATTTTTATTCATTTTTTCTTATTGAGTAGATGTCTATATTCATGGCTATTTGTGTTTATTTTTTGTGAGGTACTTTGTGTCCTGTGACTATTTTTTGTTGAATGTTTTACATCTTTTTAAAATTGATTTTTAAGAGCCACATATTTAAAGAATATTTGTCATTGTAAGTTTTGTAAGCATTTTTCTTCAGTTTGTCTGTTGCTGCTGTGGTTTTGTATGGAAGTTGCAAATTCTTACAAAGTCCATCCTGTCACTATTTTTATTTTATGGTTTCCATCTTAGTCTGTTGAGAAGGACTTCCCTACTGTAATATTTTAAGCTGCATTTTCTTCAAGCATGTTAATGCTTTTACATTCTGCGTAAGAGGAGCCCAAGGCAGTGGGAAGGGAGCCTCACAGGAAGGTGTGATGGGATGGAAGGACAAGGCAGGGGAGGATTTGCGGGCCTGATCAGGCAGGAGAGAGGACATGTGTGACTCCGGAGACTTGAGAGAGAGCTGCTCCCCACACCATGTGGGTAAGACTAGGGCTCTGTACATCAGCAATTCTTGTCTCTAGAAAAACAGTATAAGGCTGGGCCTAGTGGCTCAAGCCTGTAATCCCAGCACTTTGGGAGGCTGAGGTGAGAGGCTTGCCTGAGCTCATGGATTTGAGACCAGCCTGGGCAACTTGGTGAGACCTCGTCTCTACAATAAATAAAAAAATTACCCAGGCATAGTAGCGCATGCTTGTAGTTCCAGCTACTTAGAAGGCTTGAGCGGAAGGATCACCTGAGCCCAGCAGGTCAAGGCTGCAGTAGCTGTGCATGTGCCACTGCATTCCAACCTGCGCAACAGAGTGAGACTCCAATTCGATAAAAAGAAAATGTTGGCCAATAAAAAGAGTCTATAGCCCGCCTGGCTCGGTGGCCCAACCTGTAATCCCACGCTTTGGGAGGCCAAGGTGAGTGAATTGCCTGAGTCCATGGGTTTGAGACCTGCCTGGGCAACTTGGCGAGACCTCATCTCTACAATAAATCAAAAAAATTAGCCGGGCGTGGTAGTGCGCGCTTGTAGTTCTGGCTGCTTGGAAGGTTGAGGCGGAAGGATCGCCGGAGCCCAGCAGGTTGAGGCTGCGGTGGCCGGGAGTGGCCACTGCACTCCAGCCTGGGCGACTCAAAAAAAAGAGAGTCTACAGCCGTAGGAAGTTCAAACTTGCCCTTTAACTCATGCTCTCCTAAAGTGTAATTGCTGGGGATATTAATACGTACTGAGTAGGAGAAAAGGACTTTTGAGTGGAACAGTCTGAGCAGTGCTGGGCCACATGGCTCCGAACAGGTGTGTGCCAGGCCTTGCGGGAGCTTCCTGGGCTTGTGTGTGCTGGCATCTCCAAGAAGGGCCTGCTGTGTCCTGCCCATGGGCTCAGCCAGGAACACTTTCTCAGCCAAGAAGCTCTGTCTGCAGGTGTGTGTGCATTTCAGCTCCTTGATGACTCCCAGAAGGCCTCCGTGCCTCTCTGCCCGAGGCTGTTGTTAGAGGGCCTTAGGGTCCACCATGGCATCTCAGCCTGGTGTTGGGCAGGCAGTGGAGCACCAGGTAGTGGGTTAGGATTCATGTCCTCCTGCCTGCTTCCTTTGTATTCGGGGCTTTCTTCCCTTTTCCTCCAGGTTTCAGACCCATTTTGAAAATTGATGAGTACCAAAAGCTTGTGGGATCTCTTATCTGGCCAGTGGGAGGTCCTTCAAACACTCTGCTCTTTAAAACAATGGTTCTCAGTGTGCGGCCATGGAGTCCCTGAGTTAGGACGGTTTTTTTATAATACTTAGATGATATTTGCTTTTTTCACTTTCATTCTCTGCAAGTATTCAGTGGAGATTTCCAGCAGCTTCCTGCTGTAAGATGGACATTGTCATTTTGATGGCCAATGGAATGTGTATGCTTTTGTCTTTTCTTGTAGAGTAGTAGGTTTTTGGTATGAATATGTGCATTTCTAGAGATTAAGTTCTCAGTATTTCTGCTGAGCTTGTAGTGGCTCTTCAGTTATGCCTGCTGTAATCTCTGTAACTTTTTATCATCAGTTAAATGATTACTTTGAAATCTTAAGTTTTCCTTGTGCCTAAATAGAAGAAGTACAACAAGGAATATAGTTCAGCTACTTGGAAGGCTGAAGTGGAAGGATTGCCTCACCCCAGCAGGTCGAGGTTGTGATGGCTGTGAGTGTGCCACTGCACTTTAGTCTGGGCACAGTGAGACTCCCAACTCCAAACAAACAAACAAACAACAAAAAAACCCAACAAGAGACTGGGCGTGGTGGCTCAAGCCTTGTAATCCCAGCATTTTGGGAGGCTGAGGTGAGAGGATTGCCTGAGCTCAGGGGTTTGAGCCCAGCCTGGGCAGCTTGGTGAGACCTCGTCTCTACAATAAATCAAAAAATAAGCTGGGTGTGGTAGCACACGCCTATAGTTCCAGCCACTTGGAAGGCTAAGGCGAAGGATCGCCTGGGTACTCCAGCCTGGGCAACAGAGTGAGACTCCGACTCAAAAACAACAGCAACAACAACAAAAAAACCCAACAAGAAATAAGTATACTTTATTGACTTATTTTGCAAAAATACTAAAAGGTATCTGAAAAACTTTTATAAGTTTTATCTGAAATGGCTACTTTAGATTTTAATATTTTATTATAAAATAAAGTCTATAATACATTTTTCATATATAAATATGGGTCATTGATAAAGGAAGAAGGTGCATCTTCCCAGCCCACAGAGGTACCATTTTAGTCTATAGATGCTGAAGGAAGCAGCTGACTTGTCAAGCAGTTTTCGGGAGGAAGAGCTGCTCAGAGACACTGGGGAAAGCTGAAACTCTGAAATGAAAATAGGACAGAAGCTATCTTTCCCCAGGCTGTGTAGACCTTAAGTCTTTGCCTGCTTGTGTCTGTGAACTGGCATCTTCACCTCATATTACAGTGCCAGTTAAGTTGCGATGTCATTTTGAACCAATCATTCAGAGTTTCAAAGATAAAAGAATGTTTTTAATTTAAAAGGAATATTGTACACATAAAAAGAACTCTGTTTGTTTATTTATTTATGAATGAAATGGGGCCTCGCTGTTTTGTCCAGGCTGGTCTTGTATTCTTGGCCTCAAGTGATCCTCCAGCTTTGATCTCTCTGGTAGCTGGGTTTACAGGCGTGAGCCACTGTGCCCAGCAAAAGGAACATTTTAAATGTATGTGTGATGAGCTCTTTAAAAGCCAAACATTGTTTGCTACAACTTTTCAGACGAGAAATTAAAGAGTCACTGAAGCTCTTACAAGTTGTGTTGTGGAGGCTGGAGAGGCCACACCATAGTGGGACACAAAAGCCCCTGGCCATGACACTGCCTCATGCTTGGACATTCCAGCACTGCCACGGTCCACAGTGTTTAGAAACTTGCTGGATTCAAGACGCAACTGCAGATTCCTCTTTGGAGGGAGTGAATATCTATGCTGCTGAGTCGTGCTTTTGCCTCATGAATGATGACTGCAGGCAGGACTGGACTTGTTGCTTGACTTCATTCCCCACTTCTGATCAAAGATGTTCTTTTACCTGAGTGTTTGGCAGTAAGCACAGATGGTGCTTAAGTCAAGGTGTGGAGTACTTGTTTGAATCTCGTGATTTGTTCTGGAACAGATGTGTTCTCATTTGCACTGATGGTGCAGAAGCCGTGGTGGGTAGAACTCCTGGCTTCTGAGTACACCTGGAGGCTAAGGCACCAAGCAGTGCTGGATGGCATCACGTTTTCACAGCCACTTGTTTGAAAGAAGAGAGAAGGAAAGAAGCCAGTTTCACTTCTGAGCATTTGTTAAAAATTACGAATTTTATTAGTGCTCTTTAGGATGAAATGGGAAGTATGCAGAAAGCACTTTTACTGAAAACTCAAGCATGGCAGCTGTCTCGAGGAGGAGTGCTTGTGTGACTGTTGGTGTGCACTCTCTGTGTGGGGCACCATCCTTACTGGGAAGTCTGGCTGACAGGTAAACCCGCAGTTATGCACACTGGACTGTTTGGCCAACATTTTTCTTTTTTTCTTTTTTTTTTTGAGTCAGAATCTCACTCTATAGCCCATGCTGGAATGCAGTGGCATGCTTATGGCTACAGCAGCCTTGACCTGTTGGGCTCAGATGAGTCTTCTGCCTCAACCTTCCAAATAGCTGGGACTACAGGTATGCACCACTACACCTGGTTGATATTTTGATTTGTTGTAGAGACAAAGTCTCACCAAGTTGCCCAGGCTGGTCTCAAACCCCTGGGCTCGGTCAGTCTTCTTGTCTCTGCCTCCCAAAGTGCTAGGATTACAGGCGTGAACCACTGCATCTGACTGGACAACATTTTTCTTGATAATAAGTGCAATGAGCCTGTCACTTCAAGGAAAGCAACTTGCCCTAATTTATACCAGTGATAAAGTTGAAAACTTCAAGTTAAAGCTAGAATTTTGGAAAAGTTTATTTGTCA